CATAATATGTACAATTGTGTGTGCATGTGTGTTCCCCAAAGATCCATGAGGCAGGTGGGCATGGTGGAGCACGCCTGTAATCCCCGCGGCTCAGGAAGCTGAGACAGGAGGATTGAAAGTTCAAAGCCAGCCTCAGCAATGGTAAGATACTAACAACTCAGTGAGACCCTGTCTCTAAATAAAATACAAAAATGGGCTGGGGATGTGGCTCAGTGGTTGAGTGCCCCTGAGCTCAATCTCTGGTACCACACACACCCCAATAAAGATCCATGAGATAAAGGTTTAGCTCTCAGTTTGGTGCTATTGGAAAGTTGGTGAACCTTTAAGAACCTGGTTAGGGGCTGGGGACATAGCTCAGCTGGTACAGTGCTTTCCTCGCATGCACAAGGCCTTGGGTTCAATCCCCAGCACCACAATAAAAAAAAAAAAGAACCTGGTTGGTTGAGGGTCACAGCCCCCTATGCCATTGGGGGTGTGTGTCTTTGAGGGGCACAATGGGAGGGGGCATAATGGCCCCTTCCTGTCTCTTTTTTTGCTGCCTGGTTGCTATGATCTGGGCAGTTCCTCCTCCTCTAGGTTCCGTCACTGTGTGCTGCCTTACCCAGGGCCCAGAAGCAATAGGACTAACTGACCATGGACTGAATCCCCCACACCTTTCCTATTTTAAGTTGATTTCTCTCCAATATTTGTTACAGCAACAGAAAGCTGACTAACACAGGATCAAACTCAGGGCCTCCCATGTGCCAAGCACATGCTCTACCACTGGGCTGTCATTCTAGCTCCATATAAATATGTGTTTTAAATGGCAACCAGTGAGTTTTTGTTAACCTGGGGTAGGGGTGGGGTGGAAGCTTATATCCTAATGCTATGTGGAAAAAAATATAATTTGAAATTGTGCAAAACAAAAAATTCCAACCATATAAACAAACACATAGAAGGAAAGATATCAAAACAAGATTTGTTTATAACTTGCTGTATTTTAGTGGGTTCCAGAAGGATTGGCTTGTTAGCCAGAAAAAAATGGTCATTTTTTTTTTAAAATTAGGTTTTCCTTTCTTTAATGCAAAGAACAGTATCACAAACACTGTCTTAAGCTCTGGGACATAAGTTTTGGTTTGTTCATTTGATTTTCAACTCTTTAAAAATTAATAAGCAGAGAAGAAAGAGAGAGAGAGAGAGGAAAGTGGGGGCGCTCTGTTATTCTAACTATCTCTGTGGTGAGGTGGGCTTTATTAGCTTTTTAGAGCCAGGGGAAAAGGTCAGGTCCAAGGTCATCCAAGGGGAAGAACCAGGGTCGGGACCCAGGCCAGTGGGTTCTCCCCTTCAGCATCATGCCTGCCAATCAGGGGTGACAAACAGGTTTGGGAAAGAAAGAGAAAGAAAAAGGCAAATGGAGGTAAACAGCAAAATCATAGTGGTAATTGATTTCATAATAGAAAAGACTTTTTGTTTGTTTGTTTTGTTTTCTGGGGTCTGGGGATTGAACCCAGGACTGAGCTATATCCCTAACCCTAATGAGCAGAATTTGGGGGATGATTTTTTTTTTTTTAAACAATCCTCTCTTTTCCAGATTTCTGTAAGGTGATACTAACTTCTTATTTTTATTTATATGCAAGAAGAAAACAGCAACTGCCTGAATCACTGAACTGTGAGCATCAAGAGGGAAAACAGACTCTACCTACTGGGTTCCCTCTGAGAGGAATAAAGGAATGGGGATCCTGGAGACAGCACTTGGAGATGTGGGTGAATTACAGTAACTTTTGGTGGCATCAGTTGGGAAACCCTCTCCAGCTGCTCCTTGTGACTGGCTGCCTTCAGTCTGGAGACAGCATTTCTCAGAGAGCTGATCACCTCAAAGGATAAGTGGGGTACTCCCAGGCAGGAGAGCCAGGGGTCAGGCCCAGGTGAGTGGGGGGAAAGTCCTAGTTATGTAATGCCAACAAAAAGAAAAACAAAGAGACTAATAGAGAATGTGTCCATGATCTTCCCAACCCAGTACAAAGTGCTCTGAGTTTTCCAAGTCTCTTGTCAATCTATGTTTATAGTTATACACAAGACTGTGGGAAGTCACTTGTGTCCATTTGGAGAGCCATTTTCAGAAAGTGATCGGGGTTTAGGCATGAGTGAGTGGTAAGGGGAATTTCCCAAGAGGACTTGAAAGGGACAAGCTCTTACATAACTTGTCTTGCAAGTACAGAACCTTTTAGAAGGCACAGTGACATCACTACCCAGCTGTGAGGCTCCCAACAGACCTGGGAGGTAGATGGGCATTTCACCATTTTATACAGAGATAAAATTTTGAGACATGACTCCATTTGCCTAAGGTCATACAACTAGGAACTGGCACTTGGATTGAGAGGGCCTGACCCTGGGTCTAGGATTCCTTTTGTCCCAAATAGCTCTGTGCCCTCTAGCAAAGACAAGGGGCACTTCATCTCTCATAAGCAGAAGAGACGAAGGACCCAGGAAGACTGAGTTGTGGAGGGAAGAGGAAAGGTGAGGAGGGGAGAGAGGGGAAATGAAGACCTGTGTAAAGCTGGCAAGATGGGAAGACAGAATTAGAGAATAGGAATTTATAATGGATCAAGTCCCCAAGGTGGGTGCTTAAGAGTCACCTTTACCTAAAGCTTTTAGGCAACTTGCTTCATACAGGTCCTCACAGCCCATGAACCCCTGGTGGCATTCCCCTAAGGAGCCTTCATCTGATTAGGGTCAGAAGGAGATGAATCCAGGGGTCCCTAGTTTTCACTTTATTTTAGTCCCTCTAACTGTGTTACCTTGGACAACTCACTTGGAAAATGAGGGAAAACAAGACCAATCATAGGAAGTCTAGGATGCTCTGTGTCCTCCCAACCTCTCTGCTCCTATTTTTTTTTTTAATCACCCAATTGACTTCTCAGGAAAGAAAGATTACAGGTATCACGTGGACTCTCATTTCTCAAAGTCAGAAATACACTAAATCCAGGCAGATGAGCCTGCCCCTTGGAGAGAGGGCTCCCTTTCACACCTCCCTAGACTAGGCTTTGCACACAGCCAAAGAGCAACACTGTAACCATCTCCTACCAGCCCTAATGTGACTTTGCTGCAGGCAACTGCCCAAGGATTCCTTCATCACAATCTTTCTATGAATCATTCAGAGTAAGTCCCCACTCTGCATCAGGGGAAATAGAAACATGTTATTAAAGAGAAATGAAAATCTGTGGTGCATCTGAAAATAGCATCCAGATATGTTGACTTCCCAGTTCACCCTTCTGTTCTATCCAGCTCTTCCTTGACTTGCTGCATCCAAAAGAGGCAGAGTAGGACTGCCAACTCTCAGACATCCTGGATAAGTTACCAAATTATCTACAGATGCAGTGGGGTGGTCCGAAGGATCAGGGTTCCCAGTTCTGAACCATTCTGATGGACCAGACCTAACTATTTCCCTACTGCAGGTGCCCCTGCAGTCACATGCTTTGGTCAAATGATCTGCAGCTTCAGGCTGCTCCCTCTGCAGAGAAGAATAGGGGGAAAACAGAGTTTTAAAAAATAAAATAATGAAAAAGTACAACTCTCTCCTGGAACCTCACAACCTCCCAACTTATAAAATACTAGTGCTAGGTCATCTTCCCCAGCACAGCCTCTGAGGTCAGCTCCCCCCTTCCCCTACTCTGTCCACCTGGGAGAAATAATGCTGGCCAAGGGGACCTGCTAGGGTCTGGACCTGGATCAGAAATGCAGATGGATTACAAACTAGACAGAGAAAGAGACTGATTCAAAAAGTTGAGTCTTTGTCTTCTAAATAGGGAGGCCCACCAATTGCTGAGTTTTCAGCAGACGCTCAGCTTCCTCTGCCTCTAACAAACTTTGTGACTCATGGTCTGTTCACAGAGAGAGAGAGAGAGAGAGGCAGCTGAGCAGCCTTCATGATGATAGGTTAAATTGGGAACGTGCTCTTCTGGAACACTCACCCCTCAGGTGCAGACTGAGCCCCTACCCTGCAGTGGGAGTGGGAGGTGATCACAGCTCCAATTCTTTTGCTGGCTTTAGAATAACCACCAGATACCTGGGTTTTGATGAACTATATCCGTGGGGATCAACCAACACACACACACACACACACACACACACACACCCGCTCTTGGAGGCTTTGTAATGCAGCCCAATCCTAGACTGGTCCTGATCTTCAATGCTCCACTCACCAGAGCTGCAATGTGGGACCCAAAGCACTCTCTTTCTTCACCTACACTGCCTGCAAAACCAGAAGAATTCCTGGCAAATTATCAAGCAGAGCAATGCACAGCGAGGGTCTGCGGAACTGTTGCACATCAGTGGAGGCGATAACTGTGGAAGGGGATGAGAGGTCAGGGCTGAGCTGCTCCCTCTCATCAGCTTCTACTCCCTTCATCCTTACGGAGGGCCAATCTGGAAGTTAGGGAGACTGGATTCCAGAGGCAGGCAAAGGCCAAGTCCATCCAGGGCCGAGAGATGAGGCTCCCAGCTCTGGCTCACTCCCCGGCCGCTGAGCTTCGGGCGCCGCCTTCCACATCCTCCAAGCGGGCAGAAAGCCGGCAGCAAGCATCTCCCTCCATTCTGGACCAAATTCCCGCATAAAACTCCCAAGCACAAACCGCTTTTGTTAATTCTGCAAATGCTGTCACACGACCACCTCCACCAACCCACCCTGTCTGCGCGGCTCCAGAAGAGACTCGCTTTCCCCAGATCCCCACCGCTAGAGACCACCGGCTTCCCCTGCCCGCGATGGATCACCTCCCACCGCCCCGGCGCCTGCACACGCCGGGCCCAAAGGACTTCCCAGGACCCCAGAGTCTCCTGACTCAAAGCATCTTTGTCCTCTCCGCACAGACACCCGCGCACAGAACAGCCGATGCAGCCCAGCCAGGCACCGAGTCGGCGTTGTCGCCTTAGGTCTGGGCCACGCAGGGGACAAAGGTTAGCGTCCTGGAAGTTTGCGGAGTCGACCCCCGCGGCCCCGAGCCCAGGCGCGGAGCCCTCCTTACCGTACATCTCCGCGGGGCGCGCGCCTCCCCGGAGGCCGGCGTCGCCGCGTCGCTTGCAGCCAGCCCCTGGTGGCGCCTGCCTTTCATTCACAGCCCGTGCGGGGGCTGGCGGCGGCCGGCCGAGGCCCGGGCGGGGCGGGATCGGGCGCGGGGGCCGGCGGCGGGCGGGACGGAGCCGGGCGCCACCAGCCCATTCAGTACCGAGGCTGGCCGCAGCCGCCTCCCGCTCGGGTCTCTGGGCGAGGCGGAGCACAGGGGGCGGAGGCTGTGCCACTTGCCACGCCCCCCTCCGGGCTCAGCCACTGGCCAGCCGCCCCGCCCCGCCCCGCCCCGCCCCGCCTCGCTCCTCCGAGAAACCAGAAGCCCGAGGTGCGCTTCTTCCCCGGCGGTCGCTCGCGGCCCTGGGTGGCGTTTCACCAGGCCGCAGCGCTGAGTGGGGCGTCACCCGCTCCAGCTCCCAGCGTCTGTCTGCCTACTGCTGATTCCCAAGGCCCGGAGGGCAGCCGGGAGCTAGCAGATGTAGGTGTACCCCGCCCCCAGCTTTGTCCCGGCTGCGTAGACTGAGCCAGGGACGGCGAAGTGGCGACTTGGGAAATGACCATCCGCCCTGCTTTGGCTCCAGTAGCTAAACCCATCCTCTAAGGAAACCCTCAACGGTGGCCCTGCAGGACACACTCTGACTGCTGTTTGCTACCAAAGAGCGTCCTTCCTGCGCCAGGTACGCAGGAAACGCGTCCCACTCCAATCCCCAAGTGCTGCAGAAGTCTGCTCGCTTTTCCTCACCCAGATTTATACGTGTAATTTGCAAGCTTTGTCTGCAGGATCCTGTGACCCAGGGCCCACTTGAATCTCATCTCTCTACCTGATTTGACCCTGTGAGAAACAGACAGAGGCAGAAATCTCAGGCTAGTGCCTCGCATCTTGGAGAGCTCTCCTAGTCTAGGTCGAACTTTCCATTTTACATATTTTTTCTTTCTTTATTTTTATTTTTTTACTAGGTACTAGGGATTGAACCCAGGGTTGCTTAACCACCGAACCATATCCCCAATATTCCCAGCCGTTTTTATTTTATTTTTATTTTGAAACAGGTCCTTGCAAATTTCTGAGGTTGGCATCGAACTTGTGATCCTCCTGCCTCAGCCTCCCAAGTCCCTGGAATTACAGGCGTGCACCATGTTTCCCTGACCTTTCCATATCTGTTTCTTACTTTCTCCTCTTGCCCCATGGTTGAGGTTTTATGTTATTTTCCCCCTATTAATAGAAATATCCTACTAGTAGAAGTTAGAAAGGGAAGGACCTTAAAGATATTTTACTTAACCTTGAGAGATTAATTTGCATTCTGATTCCCAGATGCACCTGACTGTGTCAGTAGTCAGTTATTTACTCTCTCTAAATCTTAGTTTCCTGCAGGACTACGGGAAAATTTGATTGAACCCTACATGAAAGTACATAGTGGGCCCTCACGTATTTATTTTCTTTTATTCCTTCCTGTCCCAAGGCAGGGACAGAATCAGAGATCCTCCATGTTGCCAATCCTTGAAACAGTGCTCTCGCCCTTGTTTCCCAAACCCAAGTTTCCTATTTCTCTCTGACCTCATCCTCCAGTGCCTCCCCATACACATTCCTTTCCTGTTTTCAAGTTTTGCTCCCTTTTCCTTACCTTTCTGTCTCTTAGCAGCATACAAACCCCAGAGAAGCCCTAGAAGTCCCAGGAGGGTTCCTGGAGCTCACAGTTAGCCTAGATCCTCCGGTGACTCACAGAGAAGCCCTGCCTGTGCTCTCCAGCTCTAGGACCAAGCTAGGTGGCTTTGAGGTCTGCTGAGAGTCGACTTGAACTAGGGCAGGAGGGATAGCCTAGGTCTAGCTCTACTTGGACACCCGGACATCCTCCCTCCCTCTCTTCTTCTATTCAACACAGAGTGTAGCACTGGTGTCCACAGCATAGAAGGAGGTGCAGGAATTAAGTGTCAAAAAGTGGGGACACCAGAGGCATACTGATGGAAACTTTACATGACAAGGGAGAATATGGTTGATTCTGGTGAGAGGCACAGATCTCTGTTTAGATATTCAGAGACACAATAGGTTAATTTATTGTTTTCTATCAGGTATGTATTGATCATTCCATATTATGTGGAAGGTGCTTAGGAGATGCGAGACACACAAAAATTATAATAAAATCTTATGACTGTGGAGGCACACATAAGGAATAAAGGAGAGTCAACTGGAGGAAAACCACTCCAGATGGGCTCTGAAGAACAGGCAGTATTTCTAAATGTGGAGATAATGTAAATAATACCAGCCAGGGGGACTGATATTTGCAAAGGTCAGTGATAGCTGGTAGAGCATATGTGAAGTGTGGCACGCAGCCCTGTCTGGCTGATGCAGTTGAGGAAGGGAACAGAAGTAGACGTGAGGCCTGAAGGGGGGTCTGGGGCTTGTTGGGAGGACCTCAAGTGCCTGACCTGGAGGCCTTTGTGTCAACGCTAGAGATGCCAGTTGAGCAAATAAAAATACAAGATGTCCAAGGAAATTTGAATTTCAAATAAATAAGAAATAATTTGTAATGTATGCTGTATACCATATTTGGGACATACTTATGCTAAAATTTTTTGTTGTTTTCTGCAGCTGAAATTTAACCTGTTTTGTCTGGCAACTTTATTTAGTGCCATGCTTTAGAGGTGTTCTTAGAAGCCCCAGTACTCAACCAGGCCTGAAGTCAGCCACTGTCTCCATCTGTATTCCCAAATAAATCCCACAGGCATGAGCTTCCTAAGGGGACAGGAATGGGGCCACTAGGGTCAGCCTGCACTCTTAGGCACAGGCACATTGGCCAGAAGGCCAAGGCCCTGTGTGTGACACTGGGAGTCCCTCCAGGAAGAAGGTTCTGCAAGCACCATCATACCTTCAAGAAACATGAGAAGGGCTGGGATTGTGGCTCAGTGGTAGAGCACTTGTGTAGCATGCATGAGGCAGTGGGTTCCATCCCCAGCACCACGTAAAAAAAAAAAACTAAATAAAAGTGCTGTGAACATCTGCAACTAAAAATAACAAAAACAAATGAGAAGAGGCTTCTAGTCCCTGCTCTTCCCCAGGCCCTCTGGGCTCTGTATATTCAGTGGTGAAGGAATCTGGCCCATGCCCAGCTTCTCAGAGGCATAGCAGAGATGTTCAGATAAAATGTGCACAGGAAATGGCACTGCAAAAGACTATGGTTGTGATGTCACATACGCGGAAACAAACCTGGAGGGAACAGTCACCTGCTTGCAACCAAAGAGCAGAATTTTGAGCTTCCAGAGGAATGTGCCTGTCCATGAAGATAGATGGAGCAGGAATTTGCTGTCTAGGTGAAGTATGGAAAGGAGGGGAGTCAGAACCGGGATTCCTGTCTTAAATAAGTTCTTACTTTCTCTGCAGAAATCCAAAATAAGGAGAGACAAGAAAGAAAGCGAAAAGGAAATCGCATCTATGAGAGGCCCCCGTGGCTCGGTGCCAGGCACTTCCTGCAGGTCTCTGTCCACATTGTTTGTGTCTTGCTCAAGCTTATGATGGCATCAGGTGAGACACTGTCAGTATCAGCGGTACTTGGAATTTGGAGTTTTGTGATCTTTTCTCTGCCTGGCAACACGTGGTAATGTCCTCTCTCAATGCTGGGCAGTGGCAGGGGGCGGTAGCTTCCCAGTCAACCATGTGGTCTCCAGGAAAAACAGTGGTCATCTACAGCGTGCCATGTGGCTAAGTTATGATATGGGTTAGGGACATTAAATGCATTTTTTACTTACCCTGTCCTTGCCTGCCCTCACTGGTGCCTGTGTTTGTTCCTCTGTGTTCACTCCTATCCCCATCACCTGGGTTTGGAGGGAAGGGAGTGGGGAGGAACTCAAGCTCTCTAGACTAAACCAGGTCCTCTAATTTGCACCCTCTTCCCAGGTCTCATCAGTGGTGGCCCCTGTGGCATTGGCTAGAGCCCAGGGTCCTCCTGGGACTGGTTTGACCAGGCCAGAGGAACTAACCCTTAGAAAGGGTTATTATTCTCAGGCCAAAGTGAACCCTGGTCAATGTGTTCAGCCTGAAAGATGACCTTTGCAGTGACACTTCAGATGATCCCCTGTGCCACAGGCAAGCACTGTGGGAAGGTCCAGAGTTTCTATATGGACCAGAGGTTTCTGTGTTCCAGAGAAGAAAGGCTTAGATGTAGGGGGCAAGTGACAACCATCACTAAAGCCCAGGAACCCTAACTTGCCTCCAGGCATCAATATTCACATCACATCACCAGGCTTCCTGGCGCCCAGTGTCACACAGCCCTGTCACTCACTGTGACCGCCTGAAAGCCTCTAATCTCCTCATCAGCTGCAGCCACTGCAGCGGCTCTTGCTCAAGGCACCTGCTTTGAACAGTCAAACTCTTTACAGCACCTTGTGAAGAGAGAGAAGAGGGAAGAAGATGACAGCCCCAGGGGACACAGCTTCAGGAAGAAAATCACAGGACCTAGTAAAGGGCCCAGGGAGACCCAGAGAGGAGAGTGAGCCTGTAAAGGATGGTCAAGCAGCTGTTAGCTGCCAAGTCAGAAATAGAATTCAGGAGTCTCGACTCCAGGCTGGCTGCCTTGAACTCTGGCTCTTCTCCCTTAAAGCAGGTTCATTACCTTGACCTACTTCTCAAGGGCACAGGGAAAGAACAGCCTGCGAAAACAATGCACAGGTATCTAAACTGGGAGGGTCTCTGCGAGCTGAGCCTTGTCTCCACCTCCAAGCTTGGCTGCCAGGTCTGCGGGGTATGCTCTTGTCACCAAGCCAGTGGCTTTAGGGCTTTAGGCTGCAGGAGGGACACAGTAGGCAGAGCTGCCTGCTGCCAGGACAGCAGGCAAGTGTCCGGATCAGGAAGGCTGCTGCAGGCCAGATTTTACAATCAGAGTTGACTGGTTAGAGAGGAGCTTGAGATATTGACTGCTGACACATTGAGGTTTAAAAACGCCAAGAAAGCTCTGCCAGCCACCATTACTGCCTTGGGCTCCCCTGTGTTCCACTTCTGGGGCAACACCAGGTCACCTTCTCCAGCTGAGATCCCTGGAGGCTCCTTTCCCACACGAAACTCAAATCCACGTCTACCTGCTTCTGGTAAAAAGTGTAGGCATTGCCATGCCCACTGCCCAGCCTCAGGCTAGACCTGGCCAATGCCATCTTCTCATCTCCTCTTGCTGCCATCCAT